TGGTTGGAATAAAACTGAAGCGTTCTGCTCAAGACGAGAAGCTAATCGAAGCCATCTTCCAAACGAACCTACCCTCTGTTGATGGGCAAACAGTCTACGGATCAACACAACGCAATCTGATCGTAGACGCACGTCCGACTATAAATATCATTGCCAGCAGAGCAATGGGCGCAGGAACAGAGTGTATGGAGAATTATAAAAGTTGGCAGAAACTACAGATGGGAATCGATAATATTCATGTGATGAGAGAATCTTTGGCGAAGATGGTTGATGGTAAACTTGTTAATGCCAGGATTTGGTGGGGATAATAAAGTAGAAGCTAGACTTTTGGGTGTTTATTGTTTATGGGATAGCATTATATTATATTGACATGGTCTTTTTGTTTTTTTTTTGCAATTCAATTTGCACTACTACCCTCTATTTCTTTGTCAAAAAATTACTCTTATTGCCAGCAATCCAATCATCCGATATCCAGCGAATTCCAATAAAACATTCGCTCTTGGACAAATCCAACTGGCTCAAACACATAAGTACCCTCCTTGAGGCTACAGGGATCATCGTTAATCATATCCACCTGTTTAACTCGCACGTACTAGTCCATTGCTCAGACGGATGGGATCGTACGGCACAATTGACATCCATAGCTGAACTCTGTCTCGACCCTTACTATCGCACACTTCGCGGGTTTCAGGTACTCGTCGAAAAAGACTGGATATCGTTTGGCCACAAGTTTAGTGATCGCTCAGGACACTTGTCAAATGAGAAATATTTTATCACGATATCAAGCAACAATTCAGTGATGTCAATGAATAATCAATCACACGTTAAAGAAACGTCACCAGTGTTTTACCAATTTCTAGATTGCGTTTATCAATTGTTGTGTCAATTTCCAGATAGGTTTGAGTTCAATGAGAAGTTTCTGATTGAAATGCATTATCACGTGTATTCATGTCAGTTTGGAACGTTTTTGTTTAATTCGGAAAAGGAACGTGTACAATATAATGTGGAGGCATGCACAAATTCGTTGTGGGATTATATAAACTCAAAAGTAGAAGATTTTACTAATGAATTATATGATGGAGGAGCCAAGGATAAGGAAAAGATGGGGAATGGAGCAGTACTGTTTCCCAGGACAAAAACAAGTGATTTGAAATATTGGGCCGGGTTGTTTGGTAAGAAGGACGAGGAGTTGAATGGCAATACTGACGATACTTGGGATGATTGGTTGACATTGAGATCTGAGAGCCCGATACCTCGTCAACCATCTCCTCCGACCGTAACGAGCGAGGAGTTGAGTGCACATGAAGATAATGGAGACTGGCTAATTATTTGAGGAGATTGGGATTAGTATTAGAGGCATTGACAAATATGTATTAGTACATCTAATATGTTTGATTCTGTATAATATGTGTTTCCTGTTTGTCTGTTTGTCTGTCTGTCTGTCTGTCTGTCTGTCTGTCTGTCTGTATGAATGTATGTATGTATTCAGGGAATGCTGGATTGAAAGCCATGTTTGGTCATACCATTGTTCAAATTGGTTTTTTGGGCTTTCGAACGAATGTAAAGAATTAACTTATTAAACTCAAGTCGCGTAACTTGCTGTTTTGGCGATACGAAAGTTGGTTATTATAACATTTTATTTATATGACTAGCTAACACACTGCAATTTTTAAATTCACGGTAATTGCTATCAATTTTACCCGTTTTTCGTAGAAGTAAAATTTGGTTATAGGTAAATTCGTAACTTTAATGACATATGATTTAACTTCTAGACTGGTATAACTGGGCGAGAATAGTTTTTCTCGTTTGCAGTCCATTTTCCTAGGCGAGACGCTTACCTGCCACGCATGGCTATCATATAATTAAGTTATACTTCGACCTGAAATACGCATTCCGCTTGCGCATATTGAAGCAAATTTTCCAAGTGCAACGTACTCCCACAGATGACTCCAAATATTGATCGTGGAAAGTCGGCGTAAGTCTTAATATGATCGTTCTTTCAAAGCAAGATGCTACAATTGTAATCGCGCTTGTAAACACGATATCTAATAATTCAATCATCAACGTTTTTGAAACCTTCAAATGGGGAGTCAAGATAAGACTCGATCCGAACGTCTTTGACAAATTGTGAATATTACTGGAGACATTATCATAAGCATCCCTTGTGCAGAATAGGCTTGTCAACAATATCTGTATGTTTGGATAGACCCAAACGTTATCTTTACAAATGCAAGCTTATTGTTCCTTTCAACAAACTATTGCGGATACGTTGGGGATTGGTTAGGGATTGGTTGTAGTGGCGTCAGAGAGAAATAAACAGAAGCATAACGTTGTGTCATCCGCTGTGTTATTTATACAGACCAAGCCTTTGTGCATTCATAAACAATCCTTGTCTTCATACCAGCAGCTGAATAGCTGTTCCTCGTCTTCAAAAACTGCTATTAGAAAACTGTCATGACGATGATTGATGTAAGTGAATTATGACGGCTCATTTTGTAAAACCTTCGGGGCTGCGGATACGTCATCAGCGTTGGTTCTACCATATTTCGGTTGTGGAGATGCTATTAACAAATCTTCTTGGGTACCTGCTTCGTTGACTCTTAATGGTACAAAATCTCTTTGCAAAAAAACGAGGTTTGATGTGATGTGAATATCCATATCTCTGGCTGAAGTACACCCTTAGGAGTACACAGTCAATCTGGTTATAACGAACAAAATCTTCCCTTGTCCAAAAGTTCCTTATAACCCAAAGTTTTGTTGTACCGGAGATTATATATTTCACTGTATCCAAAGTCTGCACGTTTACACGTATTATATTCACAATAAAAGCAAAACTCGATTTATAGAATCTGAATAGTAATTTTTATTTTTCAGTGGGTGGATAACTTATCTCATAGATGCTCCATTTGAGACTACTTTTCTCGTCTAATGTATTGTAAGATTAAAGAAAAAAGCAATGAATTAGCAGATTTAGTATTAGAAAATCTCGTGATTGAGCAATAAGCAACTGTCAATACTAATACGTATTGAGAATGTCATTTCCATACATTTAGTTGAAATTTTCTTCAAGATACTCAATAGCCTCCTTGCTAGTGACTTCATCACTCTCTCTTTCCACGTCATTGTTTTCTTCCATCACCTTTCAACATATGGATCAGCGGACGAATAAATCATTTGTTGTAATGTCTTCTCCTAACAATTTGTTGATGCAATGCTGGGATTTTCAGACCGTAATGAAGCTTTTCATTATAACCAATTGACAAATTTCGTGATAGCCTTATAATATATAACCAGATTTGTTATTAAAATTCGCTATTGCTATAAACAAATGATTGGACAAGCGCTTGAAGATCTACCTTGGTACATTGGTATTTTCCTGAATTGTTTAGATGATTTACTCTATATGTAAGACAATACGATCAGATTATTGCATAAACGCCCTTTATGAAACTGGATGACTCAAGACTTTTAGATTCGAGCAAAGTAGATAGGGAAAGAAGAAACTTACTGGTGGAAGCTTGTATTCTAACTTTAGAGTCCAATTGCCTATGCTGAATCAAACGGATTCCACATTTAGAAGTAAATATCGACTTTCATACTAGAGTTCATTTGAATTAACGCTTACAGCTAGACGAACATTTGCACCGGTTTGGTCTGCTCGACATTCTATTGATTAATTGAAATCACTGATGAAGAACAAAGGCTATGATTAAGGCCTAAAATTGAACCATTGATTCCAAAAATATTGTTAACTTTGCGTTTTAACTTTCAGACAAACATCAACGCCATTATGGTGTACTGGCAAAATACTCAAATTATTGATTTGGTCTATACCTTAGTAACAGCATTGGGGAAAACTGTATATGACCTTTAACGTAATAACATGTTCTGAAAACGCGCTCTTGCATACGTCCTAGTAAATTACATCGATTTTGAGTTTGAATAAGAAAAACCGCTATTTGTAATCCAAAAAAGCCAGATGTTATTAAAGCGACAAACAAAAAAGTTATTCTTCAAAAATTAGAAAACCGGATATAGAAGACATGTGTCTTTCAGGTAAAACATTCGAGAAATTTCTACAAAACACATGGTTTATCGGTGGTAATAATTCTACTAGTTTCCTCCTGACCGCCCGTGAGAATTACGACACTCAGCTATTAATAGTACGCGTGGTTTATCGATAAACCACTGGTCACTCCCTCCTGGCCGTCCCCGTGAAAAGTTTAATTAAATCATACGATGGCTTATCAGTAAAAAATTTTCACTGGTCGCTACCTGTGAGAATATAAATTTTTACTATGCGTACTCCAGAACATCAGATTTTGCCATTAAGATGTCATTACTATCATAGAAATCAGTTGTAATTAAATCACACGTGCGGAGTATTATATTGATATACTACCCGTGGGAGTGAAAAACTTTTTAATGCATGATGATATCGATACCTGTTCATGCTTTTCACACCCCTTGTTGCATAGATAACAACATTTATACTTATAAGGATGTATATGACGCGATTGATGATTCGAGTCCGCCCGTGGGAGTGAAAAACTTTTTAATGCATGATGATATCGATACCTGTTCATGCTTTTCACACCCCTTGTTGCATAGATAACAACGTTTATACTTATAAGGATGTATATGACGCGATTGATGATGTGAGTCATCATTAGTCATCTAACGCGCAAACACGCGTCTATTAACGTATATATACCCCCCTCTCTCTCCTTCTCCCCCATCAAAGCGCAAATGCAAAGTTTAATAATATACAACAACAATCATCTATCGGCACACTATATAAACAACTCTTAACACCCAACAACGACAATCGCTTTATCTACCGTTCGCTGATGAAAGACTTCTACTCATACATAACCAGAATGTATCGCTGTCCGACAACTTTTCTTTCACCGAACAATCCATTGCCGCACTCTATATATGACGCACATACGACAAGTTTGCTACAACTCACAGACAAATACGGCACAGTTTATCGACGACTGAATAAGAAGTTCAAAAACACGCCTCCATATGCGTCCGGACCGCGATAACTACATTATGAAGAAACAAGGCATGTGGATGGTTCGTTTGGGGTGGGGCCGGGGTGTCTATTCAAAGTATAGTTTTTTGAGCGCCGCCTGTTGACCTGGTTCGTTCAGACTCACTCCCATTAATTGACGTTTGGCATGTTTCTTTGGGACATAATCCCTTTGACATCGTACAAACTTCCTCTCGTTATTATGGATAGTTTGACATGTTCCGGTCCGGGCCTTGAGGTGCTTTACCTTTATTTATAAGTCAAAGACCAAAATCAAAAAATCAATGTCGTTGCAGATAAAGGTCATTAAACTCCTTTGGGTAGCCCCCAATGGTTTTTGTTCCCTTGCTAGGAATTCGTTCTTACCCCCCCTCTTTTTTTTTAAAAGATCTAGACAATCGAATAATGCGAACGCTTTTCTCAATAGCACGGTTAAGAAAAGAAGCATTTTATTACTGAAGAGACAGTTACAGAAATTGCTCGAGGGTAAAACTAATATCTTATTACAGATTAATTCAAAACCAATTGGCCTTCACAGTGTGCGGTGTAAATTAAATTTGATCCATACAACTTTTATTATTAAGTTATGTTATATTATTATAGTTAATAAAACTTATATCAGTCTTTTGATAGGATAGACTTGGATAGTAGTCTAGAGCTTGAAGCGATCTGATATCAGGTGATTTCTAAAATACTGAGAGTAATTCGGAATGGTGAAATTTAAGTCCAAAACCTATAAACTTATTCTTACTTGAAGACTGAAATAAATTTTCTAAATAAGGTCTAACTATGTATGATAATGAGTCAAATAAATTAACTTAAATTTTAATATACATATATTTCCTAATTTGAATTGTTTTAGTTTTGCTTTCTCATTTAGTTAGGTGTGGTTTATACCACACAGCAAGTGCAGCACAACATTTATGATTATTGGAATTGTTATATTATGGTTATCATTTATTAACTTAGTTCCTTATTTCAATACTGATACTTCAATTAAGAAAACTCTGGTAATTAATAAGCATGTCATAGAATAATAAGCGGGCATGAGAAAATTCGGGTTGTTATAATTCTTGAATTGACACTTGCATGTAAGTTTTTCGTGACTAATAAGACAAGTAGCAGAGTATAGCGATGCGTTGAGGTAACATCTTGGCGATTAACAAGGAAAGCGGGAAAAGTGTACAGTTTGGAAGACTGTAATTATAAGATTCTATGTTTAATACAAAAGAGTCATTCGCACGTAGTATAAATACCGAGAGTTTAAATACTCGTTAGATTCATTACAACAAAAA